TATTATTATTATTACTATTATTAATTATTATTATTATTATTATTATTATCATTATTATAAACATTAATGTTGTTTAGATGTGACTGGAAACATGCTAGTTTGTGTGTCAAAGAATATTTTCAATGATTTGAAGAAATTAAAGAAGTTTAGATTATCTACAGATTTTATTCCTTGCACTTGCAACAACATGTGGTTGTATACCTGGTAAGAAATAAGATTTATTTTCCTTTAACGGGATTTCTCCCTTATTTCAAAAAATATTTTTTTTTAATTGGGAGCAAACATATTGCATAAACCTATTCTTACACCTCAATACACTAGGGCCATAATTATCATTTATTCGAGACATGATTTTTTTGCCACACAAAAAATGATTTAAATATATATTTTATAAATTCAATTTACTCTCTCTGAATATTTACATTATAAATCTTTTGTTCAGGCTTTCCAAAAGTACAGTTTTTGATGAGACAAGAAAGGACTGTTCCCTCGTCTGCCCACCTAAAGGTATTCAGAATTAAGGGATTGTTTAGATGTTTGAATAATGTGACCGGCTGCAGAGAAACAAATTGAATTTGATTATTTCTCTTGTCGCTTGCGCAACTATCTAAGAATGCCGCGCACCACTCACATTTTTCGAAATCCGTTAAAAACGTTTTCTAAAAAATAAAATATAAAGAAATTAATTGAAAAATATTATAAAATATAAACTATATTCAAATGTGGTGAAAGATAATCGATGACTATAGGTAGTAATATCTGAATGATTTGTTTGAAATTAAATTGATTTTTTTCCGGTCTAAGTAGTATGTTTCAATTTCTCAATTTGTACGGGCGCTGCGTTCTTCGGTATGAGACGTCTTTAACAATTTTCTCCTTATAGACGCAACAGATAGAAGTAAGATTAGTAGCGATCAAAAGCGCTTTTTTAACGCGTTCAGCCTACACCCCCTTTAATTTTTCGCGAACACTCCCTATAAGTTTCAATTAAGAATTATTACAAGTTAATTCTAATTGTATTTTTAGAAGTTCCAGCGCTAGAATCAGAAAACGAGTGCAATCTAGAGATGTGTCCGGATAAATGTTCCTGCAAGGTAAATCTCTATATATATATATGTAGATATATATATATCTTTATGTCTGAATAAACCTTTAGAATAATAATTTTTAAAGAGTCTTTTATATTGATCCTCTGTATACCCGGTCATGATACCAATATATCACTTTGANAATTGTCAGATGTGGAGGATTAAATATAACTAATATTCCACACTAATAATTATTTTAGGATATAATTGTCAGATGTGGAGGGTTAAATATAGCGAATATTCCACAATAATAATTATTTTAGGATAGAATTGTCAGATGTGGAGGATAAAATATAACTAATATTCCACACTAATAATTATTTTAGGATAGAATTGTCAGATGTGGAAGATTAAATATAACTAATATTCCACAATAATAATTATTTTCGGATAGAATTGTCAGATGTGGAGGATAAAATATAACTAATATTCCACACTAATAATTATTTTAGGATAGAATTGTCAAATGTGGAGGATTAAATATAACTAATATTCCACTATGATAATTATTTTAGGATAGAATTTTCAGATGTGGAGGATTAAATATAACTAATATTCCACACTGATAATTATTTTAGGATAGAATTGTCAGATGTGGAGGATTAAATATAACTAATATTCCACAATATATGTCTCCTCTTTCCAAACAGCTGTATTTAGGTAATTAAATTATTCCAAAAATATTCAAAAGGGAAAAGGGGCTGTGGATATCTTTTGAATCTTTTGAAAGTATTCAACTAAGTTTACAGTCTTGTAAAAAAAAAGACTAAGCTACGTAAAAATAAATCCGATAATGGATTGAAAGGTTCCGTTGTAAATCGGACTTCGGACATGCCACTCTATAATTTGAGTGTCAGTCACTTAACATTCATTACACCTCGAATCCACTATATGCTAATACTAAACCATTAAATTTGAATGAACTATATGTAAATACTAAACCATTAAATTTGAATCAACTATACGTAAATACTAAACCATTAAATTTGAATCAAATATATGTTAATAATAAACCATTAAATTTGAATCCACTATATGCTAATACTAAACCATTAAATTTGAATCAAATATATGTTACGTTAATAATCAACCATTAAATTTGAATCAACTATATGATAATACTAAACCATTAATAAAGATGTGTCAGGATAAATGTTTCTGCAAGGTAAATCTATATATATATACTTTGCTTGTCTGTTTGTTTGAGTGTAAGACCCCGCTTGACCCCAGGTAAGGTTTATGGATGATTAAATTTTCAAACCAAATACGAGTTTTTAAAATTTTTAAGAAAATCCGCGAAATTTTTGTTTGTTTTTGTTACACAATGTGTACAAAGAGAAAATTTTCACTATTGAAATAGAAGATAGGCGCCCTAAAAACCTAGTATAATAAAATTTGATATACTATTTTTCCTTAGCTAAATATTTTAATTTTTTCTCACGGATGCCGTATGTCTTGTTTGATCGCAGCCTTAAAATCTTACACCTTTAATATTTTATCCTCAAAATCTCGGAGATCAAGTATTCAAAGTTTGAATATATATTATCAGTTTTCAAAGATCTGTAGATAAGAAAATTTAAAATTAAGGCGCGGCAGTGCTCAGTTTCGTTTTTTTAAGTTGAAATATTAATTTTAGTGTAATAAAGAGGATTCAAAATATTTGATTCATAAAATAAAAGTTAAGCTGGAATAATTTATATTGGTTGCTGGAATTATCAGAATAAACAATTTTTTTGATAATGAGTCTAAAACTTTGGTCGTGACTGCTAGTGCTACCCCTATCCGAATCCTTTGATTAAGTTAGAATTTTACGAAGTTTATTTTGACAAATGCGTTTCTATTAAATATATCTTTTAAGCATAAGACCCTCAGCAATATAGTTATCGGCAAAAATGTTCAACAAATTCCAAAATGATGATCTAGATATAATAAAAACATCGTTTATTAATTTTTTTGTCTAGCAACAATATAAATTTCAATGAAATGCATTTATGTCGTAATTGGCCCTGCTATAGTTGATATGCATGTTGAAACCTTAATAAAATATAAAACTTTGTTTTAATGTGTTTTTTTAATATTAGCACTATTTAAAGTACTAAGCTTTTAGGACACTTTGCGCCCATCTTCTATTTCAACTTTTAATTGTGGCTCTATCTGTAAGCATCTTCTCTTTGTACAGTATAAAACAATAACAAAGAAATTCACAGATTTATTAATATTGTGGAGGGTTAAATATAGCGAATATTCCACAATAATAATTATTTTAGGATAGAATTGTCAGATGTGGAGGATAAAATATAACTAATATTCCACAATATATGTCTCCTCTTTCCAAACAGCTGTATTTAGGTAATTAAATTATTCCAAAAATATTCAAAAGGGAAAAGGGGCTGTGGATATCTTTTGAATCTTTTGAAAGTATTCAACTAAGTTTACAGTCTTGTAAAAAAAAAGACTAAGCTACGTAAAAATAAATCCGATAATGGATTGAAAGGTTCCGTTGTAAATCGGACTTCGGACATGCCACTCTATAATTTGAGTGTCAGTCACTTAACATTCATTACACCTCGAATCCACTATATGCTAATACTAAACCATTAAATTTGAATGAACTATATGTAAATACTAAACCATTAAATTTGAATCAACTATACGTAAATACTAAACCATTAAATTTGAATCAAATATATGTTAATAATAAACCATTAAATTTGAATCCACTATATGCTAATACTAAACCATTAAATTTGAATCAAATATATGTTACGTTAATAATCAACCATTAAATTTGAATCAACTATATGATAATACTAAACCATTAATCAACTATATGTTAATATACTAAAGGAACAAATGACTGAATTGGCTAATTTAATACAAATTATGTGTTTAATGAAATTAACACTAAAAATCATTAAGTAATAAATTTAAAGGGGCTGTAAAGGATAAATAAAAAGCGGTATAGGCTGAAAGCTAATCACTTTATAGCGACCCATGAAAGTTATCTGATGTTCCTATATATATATATATATATATATATGAATTTTCGCATAAATTTGACACAGTTTTATATCAATTTCTCGAGACAGGAACATCAGAAAAAGCTGTTATGGGTCACGATCAAGAGCTAAAGTAATAAGCTTTCAGCCTGTAATCCCTTTCATTTTTCCTTTGCAGTCCCTTTGAGATAGAAAATTTATTTTTAACAAGTGGCGATGTAAAATGAAAAGGTAAAATTCATGGTGTTTTTTTAATTTTTATTTTTATGTAAATCACAAATTAAACGATCTGAAGTAGAAGTTCTTGTATTGTAGATATCAAGATCAATGTTTGATCTCAATATTTTGTTTATCTACAGATTAATTTAATCTTTAATCGATATCCCGTGAGGTACTAGTCAGATATCTCCTGAGAGAACTGAGAAATTACAGATAGCAAAATTAAAAGATCAAGCAAATTCTGAGTAAAATTCAAAAGTGTCCACTGTAGATATCAATATCATGCAGTTGGGAGTATACGTAGCCATGCTCAAAAGTTCCCGGCTCTATCAATAGAAAGTGTAATGGCAATTAAACCAATCGGTTTCCAATCTGATTTTAGATAAATCTAACCAAAACAATATTTAGATTCCAATATGATAACTGAAGTTAAAGCAAGCAGCCTCCACAACCAAGTCAACCTCAAACTAATGTGAGTAATTATTAGACAAGGAGGGTTTTCTCTTTGACAGGAATCATTGTAAAATATAAAAAAGAATATTAATGTGGTTAAAAAATTCATTTTAGTAATTTAAGGCAGCTCAGTTAATTTTTTCAGAGAAACATTTTTTCAGTGATATGTGCATTTTTCTGAATGATTATATAAGTGTCTTATTGCTTATTCTCAAATTATAAATTGTTAAAAACATTTTACTTATGTTTACGACTATAGAATTCTTTTCCTGAAAAATGAAAATGTTTTTTTTTTAAATTGTATTTGTTTGCAAGGATAAGAGTAAGCGACTTCATGTCTTTCAAAAAAAAGTTATTAGATGGTTTGAACTAGGATTAACAATAATAATATGTTGGAAAAAGTCAGGTTTAGTAAACAATCATGGTTTGAAAACGTTATTCTCTGTAACTAAGTTTTGTTTTTTAGTGATTTGAGCAACAATCTGATAGAATTCATAGATTCAAGTTCTTTTCCTTCTCTTCCCCAGCTGGAGACTATAATTCTAAGTTACAACAGGTATAACAAATCAATTTTTATTAATTCATTATTATTATTATTACATTTTTATACCATTTAAATATCTGTATTTGTAAAATATGGGACCGAACATCACAACAGCACTGTAGTATAAATATTCAATTTACATATCTTTTTGATGAATTAAAGCTAGACTAAAATGCGTTTTTCTTAAAAGACGCATATGCTAATTGCTAATATGGAGAAAAAAATGTTCTCAAAAATTGTTGAAAAAACTTTTTCCAATATAAAACATCTATTTTGAAAAACAAACCAATGTCCACATTTGAAACAAATCCCAACATTTTGATAAAAATATCGAACTAAACAGAAGCATTTGAAAAGATTTCAAGTCTGCTTCGAATTTCTCTTAAATCTTGTCATTTAAACTTTATTATATTTAATTTTAGAATTCGTTGTATAAGCGCTGCGTCCTTTACAGGTATTATTTTTACAACCTAAACCAACCCAAAAGTAGACAAAAGCAAAACATGATTATTTTTTATCCAAACCATCTAATTGAACAAAAACGTATGCAAAGTAGAGAAAGATTTTATGAAATTCATAAAACTTTTTTGAATTGAAAACTTTTGCATGGACAGAAAGTGCCAAGTTTGTTTATGAATGTTAACCCCTTTTTAAACATGTTCTTACGTCGCGTAAGAGAAAAGATTTTAAGAACTTGTTGTTACACACTTTTTACAAAAATATGTTTCTTTGATTGGTCAAACAGAGATAGACGATTGTCTAAATGTTAGAGATTCAATCTCTTGATATTCAATTTGTCTTTGTATTTCAAGTCTTTCAACCATATGAAATATCTAAATATAGGTTTTAAGCTTTAATATGCTATTGAATATGTGTGCTTACTTCAAAAGATGATCTTTGACTGAATATGCCTTGCATCTTCATCTTTGATTCTAAGGCCCCTCCCTCGATGTCAGCCATTTAAGTTTAAACTTTATCCAAATCATTCCTATGTAAGATTGAGCATCGTTTTTAATGACCGTTTTAAAACATTCAGAGTGCTTAGACTTTCAAGAGGCTCTACATGAATCTGGGATGATAATCTCATTTCAAAATTACATACTAAATAAGTTTTCTTTCATTACATTATGCAAAATTTTAACTCTAACGAAAGATATAAACCAAAACAATCTTTCAAAACGATTAGTATAAAATCATTTTTAGCCATAATGAAATAAAACAAAGCTTATTAAAGGGACAGTAAAGGAAAAATAAAAGGGGGTATAGGCTGAAAGCTAATCACTTTAGCTCTTGATCGCGACCCATGAAAGTTTTATCTGATGTTCCTGTCTCGAGAAATTGATATAAAACTGTGTTTTAATTATACGAAAATTCATATATGTAAAATTTTGAAAATCTGAAACTTAAATCACGTGACCAGAACTATCATTAATGGCAGAACAGTATACTGGTCACGTGTCTCCGCCTGTATCACGTGACCACTTTACTGCACTGCCATTGGTGGAATTTCTGGTCAAGTAATACGGACGTAAAAATAATATTATGAATGAAATCTATTGAAAATAGAAACAACAAATATAAAAAGTAAACCTAAATTACAATTTCTCTGGGATATCATCTTTTTCAGATTGGTTGCTGTTTTTCTAAGCATGGTCTGTTTAAACCAACTATTTCTATACGAAATTGTATATATATGCATTTTCGTACAAGTTTGAAACAGCTTTATATCAACTCTCGAGTTAGGAACTTCAGATAGGCGTCTCAAGGGTCTCGATGAAAAGCTAAAGTTATTAGCTTTTAGCCTATACCCCCTTTCATTTTTCCTTTACTGTCCCTTTAAGAAAACTATGTTTAAATGTGATAAATTTTTGTGTTGTACGTCTAACGCCGAAAACCCAAAATGTCTCCAAACGAACCTTCAAAAGATGAGTATAAAATAACTAGGATTGTCCGGTCTGAAGGTTCTAAGTTTACATGATAACAATCTCTCTGGTTTGGATAGAAATGCTATTGGGGATATCAAGCAGATTTCTCACTTGTAAGTAATCATTAGATTTTTACATATAAAGAATTAGAGTATTCTTCACTTTAACTCTGATTTTCCAATCCTTATATTTTTGCAAACAATGTCGTAGGCCTTAGATATTTCAAACTATGAATTCTGTCAGATCTAAGTTTGAACTATTAAAGGTTTACACCATCAAATTGCAAAAGTATAGGAGCTTGTGGCAAGAACATTAAGTTCCTTTGGTTTGTAGAAGATTTTCAAGAATTTTCTGTTTAAAGTTTTTAAACTTTTAATTTTCATTCCTATACGTTCATTTTAATCATATTTTCTTAATCAAAGCTTTTAAATTCTCAAAAAAAATAGTTTTGATTCAAAAATGACCAGCTAAGCATACAATTATTTTTCTGAAAAACTCTGTTGTTAACACTCAACCGCGTAGTTAAAATAGCTTTTTAATGTATTGTTTTTTCTTCCAGAGCTATTGGAAATAATCCTTTGCACTGTGATTGTAAACTTCAATGGCTTTCAGTCTGGTTCAAGGTAAGGAAGAATTATTAAAGGGACTGTCAACGTAATTATTAATTATTAAAGGGACTGTCAACGTAATTATAAGAATTATTAAAGGGACTGTCAACGTAATTATAAGAATTATTAAAGGGACTGTCAACGTAATTATAAGGAGTTAATTGCTTGATTCATGACGGGAACCTTTTACACCTTTCTTGTCTCAACTTCATAAATCCGCAAATGTCGCAATTTAAATGTATTCGTTGAGACTGGTTTAAATGTTACCGCTGTAAATAAGTAAGACAATGTTTAAACTCTTCAAAGATAAAGATCACTTAAAATCGGTCAACAGTCCGTTTAAGAATAAAACACAATAGATATATTTTACAAAAAGGAAAATTTAATTCAATAATTGATAAAGATTCGATTTAAACAATTAACATAATTTGTTTTACACTTATATAACATGTTTATTTCTTAAAGGGTTTATTACATATATACTTTTGTTCTTAAAAAGAAACTAAAACAAGTTTGTTCATAACCCTTCTGGTTAATCTTTCAATGTGAGGTCTCCATTAGAAAAAAGGAAATTTCTTCAATCTTTTCAGTTCAAACCTTAAGGCCGGAATTGTTTAAAAGCACACTATCTGCAACCCTGAAGAGTTAAAACTTTTAATTTGAATTGAAGCGAGTAAGTGCTAAATCTGTATTAGACCTTTAAAGATGTCAAAAAAGAAACAAATTAATCCGTCGGAGAACGAAATATACAGATATATTTCTGAAAGATTAAAGATACAAAAATGCTAACTTATATAAAAATTAATTAAAAGTTTGTTATCTTAACAACAACTGCTGTTATCTAGGATGGGTTTGAAGCTGGGACTGCTATCTGCAGTACTCCAATCTACCTAGAGAACAAACCATTGATAAATATACCTACATACTACTTCATATGCAAAGGTAAGTCAAGGTTTTTCTAGTTCTCTAATCCTTATATCTCTGCAATCTTAAAGTTTGATCTAGCAAAATTTTTAGTTTGAGTTTTCAAAGGTCAAAGAAAGAAAATAAAGGCATAGACAAAACCAGAGAAGGGATATCAGTTTCCTTTTAAAAATTCTTAAACAATATTCGCAATCATTCATGCTACCAACAGTTTACCAAACAGGAAATATTTAGAAAAATTATTTTGTTTAAAAAATAGATTTGATAGAACCAGACCCTGTTTGATAATTAGGAGGATTAGATCCTGTATATGACAAGTATAATCTTTGTTATCAGGTGGATAAGATCCTGTATTTAACAAATAAAATCCTTTTTAATCAGGAGGATTAGATCCTTATATAATAAGTATATTCCCTGTTATTCAGGTGGATTAGACCCTGTATATAACAAGTATAATTCCTGTTATTCAGGTGGATTAGATCCTGTTTATAACAAGTGTAATCCCTGTTATTCATGTGGATTAGACTCTGGATATAATAAGTATAATCCCTGTTATTCAGGTGGATTAGATCCTGTATATAACAAGTGTAATCCCTATTATTTAGGTGGATTAGATCCTGTATATAACAAGTGTAATCCCTGTTATTCAGGTGGATTAGATCCTTTATATAACAAGTATAATCCCAGATATTCAGGTGGATTAGACCCTGTATATAATAAGTATAATCCCTATTATTCAGGTGGATTAGATCCTGTATATAACAAGTGTAATCCCTATTATTCAGTGGGATTAGATCCTGTATATAATAAGTATAATCCCTGTTATTCAGGTGGATTAGATCCTGTATATAACAAGTGTAATTCCTATTATTTAGGTGGATTAGATCCTGTATATAACAAGTGTAATCCCTGTTATTCAGGTGGATTAGATCCTTTATATATCAAGTATAATCCCTGTTATTCAGGTGGATTAGACCCTGTATATAACAAGTATAATCCCTGTTAATCAGGTGGATTAGACCCTGTATATAATAAGTTTAATCCCTGTTATTCAGTAGGATTAGATCATAATATATTAAGTACAATCCCTGTTATTCAGGTGGATTAGACCCTGTATATAATAAGTATAATCCCTGTTATTCAGGATATTAGATCCTTTATATAATAAGTAAAATCCCTGTTATTCAGGTGGATTAGACCCTGTATATAATAAGTATAATCACTGTTATTCAGGATATTAGATCCTTTATATAATAAGTAAAATCCCTGTTATTCAGGTGGATTATTTCCTGCATATAATAAGCATAATCCCCTTTGATTAGACAATTAATAAAACAAGTATAATCCCTGTTATTTGGTAGGATTAGATCCTATATATAACAAGTGTAATTCTTGTTATTCATGTTGAATTGATCCTGTATATAATAAGTATAATCCCTGTCATTCAGGAGAACTATATTTTGTATATAACAACTATAATCCCTGTTATTCAGGTGGATTAGACCCTGTAATAAGTATAATCCCTGTTATTCAGGTGAATTAGATCCTGTATATAATAAGTATAATCCCTTTTATTCAGTATAGATTAGATCCTTATATAATAAGTATAATCCCTGTTATTCAGGTGGATTAGACTCTGGATATAATAAGTATAATCCCTGTTATTCAGTAGGATTAGATCCTTATATAATAAGTATAATCCCTGTTATTCAGGTGGATTAGATCCTGTATATAATAAGTATAATCCCTGTTTTTCAGGTGGATTAGATCCTGTATATAATAAGTATAATCCCTGTTATTCAGGTGGATTAGACCCTGTATATAACAAGTGTAATCCCTGTTACTCTGCGCCGTGTCTAAATAGTGGGTTTTGTATAACTGATGAGAAGGGTGATTACTCACCATCAAGCACAGATTTCAGGTAATAACGTACAGGGTTACCCATAAAGAATAAGACTTCAGATACGACTGTACAAAGTTTATACTGTTTGTTTCCTTATATTAATGATTCCATACAATTCTAAAGATTCGTTATTGCTTTGCTAAATCATTTAATAAGGGTCGTCATATTTGAAGAGTTTTAGGTCGTCTTTACAGTGTTACCTTTTGAAGGTATACCTGTGCACTATTAAAAGACAGAAACTATACTAATTAATGGTCGGGGGTATGGGGGGGGGGAGGGCAGCTATTTCACCTATTAATCCATTCTACAGTCACAGATGGCAAACGTTTTACCTTATACAAATTCGTTTCATGAAGTTTGGGGAAAAAATATTTGCGCAGAGAAAAAAAGTAAAATAGAGCTAAAGTGAAGAAAAAACAAGTTCCTAAGATTATAATTTAACTATTAAGGATTATTATCAATTAAAAATGTTATTTCAAATTTTTCCCTTAGATGTGAGTGCACCCCATCCTTCCATGGTGATCGTTGTCAGGTACTTTTCAGTAAATGATGCTTAGTTCAATTGTTGCTTATAGTCAAAGAGACTTGAGGCCGAATTTAAAGAATATGAGCCGCGGCTTAAATTTGAGACGCGACTCAAATATGGTTGGTTCCATTTAAAACTGTATTCAATGTTTAAGATTTAAGCCGGCGCTCAATTGAAACCGGTTTTTGGTGGATTTGAGACGCGGCAGTCCGGCGGTTAAAAAAGCTTGGACAAACATTTGAGTACAATAACCTGCTCACTGCCCGGTTGACAAAGGAATTAAGTCCTTGCCGCAAACTCTGACAAACCCTTATCTGTGCAACACACAATGTCGTAGACCTTTAATATTTTAAACTACATTCTGGTAGAAAATTTCAAATATTAAAGGTTTACATCATCAGGTTGCAAAGAAATATATGATTAGGAAATTGTAATGCATGGCACACGTGGATTTAACGGTTCTGTCAATATTCCAGAAAGCTGTGACTTTCGATCACAATTTGACCAATTAAACACAATTTTTTAGCTTTTTTCTTAAATACTTTTTTGTTGGCATATGCATTTTGAATACAAATGTATAACATAAACAAATCCGTAAAGTAAATGATTATTGAATTAAAGACCAAAACACGTTTGATTTCAAAGAGAAGAAACCGAATGCTGCTCACTCTGGTTAGTCCGGTGTGGGCAAGAACTAACTTATTTCCTAAGTAAATTAAATTTCAAAACTAGCTTTCAATGCATTCTTAAGGAGTAAGGACTGATTATTGTAAAAAACATTAAATATGTATTCCCCACTTTAAAACTGTGTATTCTACGACTAGAAAATATTATTAACCAATTTGGATTTTTACAATTAATAAATAAGATTTTTTATTTCAGTATAAGATGGATGCTTGCTATGGAGCCCCCTGCCGTCATGGGGGAAATTGTACCGTACTGGACAAAGGCAGATTCAAGTAAACAATACAGTTTAAATAATTTTATAGAAAAAATAGAGCTCAAAGTAGTCTTGCTAGGTGCATACAAATATTTTTGCTTAATTGCTTAAAATAAACACTTATCCTATTTTTATAAAAATTCTTAAGTTTTTCAAACTGAATTCACAAGTCAAAACATTGACAAATAAAAAAATGAATTAAATGTATATTTTAAAAAATGAAATTTTTACTAAATTATTCTAGAATTTTTAAACTTTGAAATCAAATTTGTGGCCTCCATTAGTAATTTTTTTCATTGCAAACTATAAACTTAAAAAATTCGCATAGCCCCCCCCCCCCCCATTTAAAATATATTTAAACCAGCTTGGGAACCCAGCGTTGCCCAGTTACTCATAGTTACTCTCGCCGTTTACCCGCACTTGGTCGATTTTACCGGGAAATTAAATTTTCGAAATAAAACTCAACCCACTCAGAATCTCAAAACCAAGCTATGAACATTTCCATGGCTCTGTAGAGTTCGTCAATCAATATTTGAGGCAAATCGGTCCAGTGGCTCCTGAGTTATAATCGGACAAACCAACAAACAGACAGACAGACAAACAGAGATTACAACCTTATATATATAGATTGCGCCCCTGAACGTGGATATGAAGGAAGGGTTTGTGAGAAAAGTATTGATGAATGTAAAAACAACAAATATATTTAGATGCAACTGTACTAGTGGATATGAAGGAAGGGTTTGTGAGAAAAGTATTGATGAATGTAAAAACAACAAATATATTTAGATGCAACTGTACTAGTGGATATGAAGGAAGGGTTTGTGAGAAAAGTATTGATGAATGTAAAAACAACAAATGCCAAAACAATGCTTCATGCTTAGACAGGTAAAATACAGGCTGTCTATGACAAAATGATTCATAAAGTTCAAAAATTTTAACCTAAAACGTTGCAGGGTTGGCGGGAGAAAATGCCTCTGAGAGATATAAAATATTCAATAACTCTAAGAAAAGAGATTTTAAAGTCTTTGCCAATTTGCCTCGAACTCTAATTTTCTCATTTAATTATCTTTACAACCTGATGATGCAACTCTTTGATATTTTATACTAACATTATTTGATCTAACAGAATTTTAAAATTTGAATTAACTGAGGTATCTATGACATTGGATGGCAAAGGCTCATTTCCTTTAATGTTAATATTTACGAAGTTGTAATACTCATAGATAAATAAATAAACATAGATAGCTTATGTACGCAAAATCACCAAGCATTGTACAGTCCGCGAACTCATACTTCTAGGGGTCAAAGTGTACGTCAATGATAAGCGGGGTGGTTTGGTGTTTTAATAAAGTGTAAAATAACTCCGGGATTGGAACTATTTGAACAACAATATATCATATGGACGAGAACTGAAGAAAGACATGAAAATGACTAAACTAACTTAAATTTCTCTCTACAGAACTCATGTACACCACAAGTACTCAATGACATAAGAACAGCCAATGTTCACAACCGACCTAGTTAATCTATATAATAGGAATATCTTTAAAACATCTCTGTACATTTATATCTTTCAAGATGAAAAATGTTGTCTTATGCGCAATCTATCTTTATCTATGGTATAATACCTTTCAGAATTTTTTTATAAAAAATTAATTTTAAAAAAAGAAAAATTGAAAATTACATGCTAAATTTGAAGAGTATTGTCTCGGTTTCAAAAAAGTGTCGCCTTGTACTTAATGTTTTTTTTTGACTTGTCAAAGGAAAGGAAAATTGAAATATAAAGTTGAACTTTTGTATTCAAGCTTTATTGGCAAAACAAATTCTTTATCTTTAAGAAGACAATTGTTGCCATTGGGATCATAAGCGAAATGAAAACACATTCAACGACCCTAGGATCTTGAATTTTAAAGATTTTTCTATAAATCATGAGACGTTTTTGTTTCATCAAAAGTATTTGAAAGTACTTCTATTTCTAGCTCTATATCCTGGTTTTTACCTAGATGTGTAATATATGATGATTAATTGATAGATTTGGCAGGACAAAGTGCTTCAGATAGGATGGTCAATTTTCTTACAGGCTTTCTTGTGTCTTGTACAGGATGTCGCAATAAATTTCGTCTATTATTAAACTTAGTGGTTTTAAAAGTTTTCAGAAAATTTACTTTTCTATTTATATATAAGATGAAATGAAGATTTGTCATGTGTTGACATCAGTATTTGATAAAGTAGTCATTGATCAACTTTTGGAAATCAAAGATGACTTTGAAATAGTAATTGATTCTTTGTTTCTGGGATACCCTGTACATTATTAATATAGAGTAGTATTGTGTAAAGAATGAGGGTTTTTGATATTATTTATTGAATTTTCTATTCTATCCATTTTATTTCAATTTGAGTCGATTATTATTTCCAACATAATCGTTCAATTCAAAACTCGATGGTTCACTGTTCAGTGTTCATTGATTTTAATCATCAATGATGTTCGTTTGTTAACTTCCTGTCAAACTTATAATTTGATGTCGTAAAACTTTAATTTGTCAAAATTAGACATAATTGATCATGCAAGAATATTTTATTGAAGTAAAAGAATTCTACATTTAGTTTTAAAATAGAATTTACTACGTAAAAGGGGGAGGGAGGAGGAGGAGGGGCCCGGGAACCCTTCAATTTTTACTAACACTTACTTTTTATTTTAGGGTCGGAGACTATACCTGTATTTGTCCAGAAGGATTTGAGGGGAAATATTGTGAAAATAGGTCGAGTTTAAAACAGATATTAAGAAAAATAATCATAATAATAATGATAAAAATAATGAAAATAATAATATTAATTAATAACATTAATAATATCTATTAATAATAATAATTGATCAATTATAAAATTAAATGAATTAAATAAATTTAACTTCTATAAATAGATAATAACGAGGATAAAACGCAATAAAAAATGAGTAAAGCAAACCATTAAAGTAAAAATTAAATATAAATATCAAAATTAAAATATAAAACTATAGATATAAAATGATATATCTATAACGCATAAGATTATTCACTATATTTTGTTCAACTAGAACTGAATATATATTTATAGAACATTGTATTTAGAATACAAACTGTAATATTAGATCTTGTCTGACAGTTTTTATTTCGAAAAATTATTCAGATAAATTCAAATGGAGTTAACCCAAGGATTCTATATAATGATAGAAACATGATACTAAAAAGAAATAAACATCGCATCACGCGTTGTATTAGAAGTAAAACGGAAGAGAACAAATGCGGAGCGGTTGATAACAATTTGTTCTTCTAACTTTCATTCCTTGTAGGAAATCCTTGGATTGTATCGCAACATAAATATAAATACAAAATTTGCACTCCAGTAAGTTTTATTATTCGAGCTGTCAACAAGTTTTATCAAAAACTTTAATTAATTAAATGTATATAAAATAAATGATTTTTCTTGGTTTTCTTATTTGATAAAATCATAGCATTTATATATAGTCCCCTTTCTTTGAGGGTAACACTGTAAAGAAACATAAATCTTTTAATCCTGATATCTTTGCAACTTGATACTAATATCTTTGAAATTTCCAACTAAGATTATTTTATCTACAGGGTGTCCCAATAAACATGGGTATTCAGTGACGAATTCGATATCTTCTTTTTAAATAATTCTTTGATTTAGTATAGTGATACCTACTGAGAAAGCTGTAATCTGTAAGAGTTTTGTCTGCTATGTTCACATTTAGTTTGTTTATGTTTATACTGCATACGGTTTTACTTAGTAAAACAAGAAAATTGCAGTATACAAACAGAGTAAACTTTTCCGTCTTCACTGTTCATCTTGCAGAGACATTATAGACAAATCTTTACAGCCTTTTACCCTTTTCATAAAATAAACTCTAGCAGACAGAATAACATTATGGCTGTTGAAATTAGGTATTACAATGCTAATACATAACAAAGACGATATCGAATTCGTCACTGAATTCCTATATTTTTTGGGACACCCTGTAACTAAATGCATGGTTTAATACAATGAAACCCTTAATAACGAATACATCGAAAGAATTCATCAAATGTCGTATTCTTCACTTTTTGATAATGGAATGTTGCAGATATTTAGTTTTATAATTGAATGATTATATGGAACTCTTTTAAACTGTTCTCGCATATTCATGGTTATTTGTTTATTTTCGCTAATACTGAAATTTACGTAATATACAGGGTGTCCCACGAAACATGACAGTATGCAGGACGACTTGAATGTCGTCTTGATTTTTGATATAATTTTCTGCGTTTATTTGTCAACCTGATTTTAGAAGTAAATTTCTAGAGATAATAATCACAAAATTTCCCTTGTCCTGCCATTTCCAAAATGTGGTCTGCCTTTTTTGTGCTTTCAATATTGCCCGAGATATGAAGAATTAATTGTTCTGATTTCGACAATTTTGCTTTTATTTAACAAAATTGAAATCTGAACCAAACTCTTTATATCTCCGGTAATATTGAAAGCACAAAAAACGCAGACCACTTTTTGGAAATGCCAGGGCTAGGAGAATTATGTGATAATTGTTTCAAGAATCATACATGTTAAAGTAGATAGAAGACTAAATGTCACAAATAAATTCAAATACCAAAGACGACTTTCAAGTCGTCTTGCTATTGTCATGTTTCGTGGGACACCCTGTAGTATAAAACTCATTGAAAAATTGTCAAGACGACATTTGATAAATTCTTCCGATGTTTTTATAAACTGATGTTTAGGGATAACAGAATTCAAACTTCTAGCCGCCATTCCTGTTCGGAGCACATGTGTCAAAATGGCGGGAAGTGTGTTAACGAAATATTTCCGGGACAGTACACTTGCAAATGTCCCCCTTCCTACTCGGGAAGATATTGCCAGGTTCCTTGGTTAAGTAATTTCAGTTGTTATATATGTTATATATGCTAATTATGTTATATAAGTTAAACATATTATTTATGTTATATATGTTATATATTTTTGTAATACTAATATTTGTAACACAAAAATCTGTGTATAGATAGAGCCAAGAATATCTGTGATGTACCAACGAAGCTCACCTTGTGCTCAACATGATTGTAAACATGGGCTCTGCCAGGTAAACTTCTTCTTCTTCTTCTTCTTCTTCTTCTTCTTCTTCTTCCTTTGAAGAAAGCTTTTCTTTAGGGAAAGTAGGGACAACCATTTTACACCCCCCTTTCAATTACGCCCTGTCCCAGAATTTGATTAACTGTTCAGGAGGATCTGTTAGAGCCAACTTATACCTGTGTCTGTCATCCCGGGTATTCAGGTAAAACGGCCAATTCGTATTTTAAAAACCAAAGTTTAGAAATAAATGTTTTTTCTTTATCTAAAAAGTGTGTGTGTGTAAATGAAACTTATCGAAGATTTTTTTTCGAAAGCAAAATTTGTAGTACTTTTGGACTTGATTTGTTTATATTGGTGACATGTATGTGTTTTTTTATGCTGGCTTTTTTCTGCATATGCCAGAGTAAAACATGAGACAAACATCAAAATATTGAATTTAAAAAATTTAAAAACATTTAATCCATGTATGGTTTAAAATATCGTGTACACCTTTAACTGAGTAATAATTAGGAAGATACTGCCTTTTATATTGTATTGAAAGAAAAAATTCTGTAAAATTTCTTAATTTTCTCTGCTCAAAAATCCGTAACACATATTTATAGAGAAACTGAAATTAACAACTTTTAATTTTCAAATGAAAGAAGAAAGAATTTTTCGAAGTAAGAAGTATATTGTATATTGTATATTGTATATTGTATATTGTATATTGTATAATATTGTAAAAGACAATTGAGGGTCTCAACCAAGGAGTAATATTGTATAAGACAATTGAGGGTCTCAACCAAGGAGTAATATTGTATAAGACAATTGAGGGTCTCAACCAAGGAGAATGGACTATAATGGAGAAAGAATCGACCTGGCCCGCCCTACTATATGATTTATACACATGGTACTCCATTTCAAAAAAGGTTTTAAAAGGTCGTCTTTTAATTTTTATAATGTGTTTTTACTTTGCCTTATCAAATAAAACCGATTTTTTATATGATAAAAAATACGTTTGTGTTGCCAATATTTTTCCATCCAAAAAAATGAGGTTGTTTGGCGTTATTCAGCCTACTTTTTTCCATGTGTTATGTATACAATAACCTATTCTAAATACTTGTACGCGATATTTGTACTTCTTATTCAAATGGAATACCGTCTCCGTTATATTACATACTCCTTGGTCACAACAAAGTATGACGATCGTTTTAATTATAATTTAATTAGGGAAACTATGTGAGTACCTTACGACAGTACAGTACAGGGATCAGGATTCTTACATAGAACTAGATCCACTATACACTGCCAGGAAACCAATCAATTAATAAATCAATAAAATTAAAGTTTTATTTTTATTATAATGATAGGGGATAATATAAGTATTTTCTCATATACTCTGAGACTAAAAATATTGTGAGATAGAAACAGTGTAACCCATACAATAAGGGAAAAGTAAGACGACGATTAAGCAATCTGATATGTTCTTAATGTTTTTTAAAGAAAAAGTTTGTTAAATATAGCTTGAAATCATCTTATTTGGAGAAATGGGTCTGTGTACACTGCACAATTTCATTCTAAAAATATAAATTGATACTAAATGTCGTCTTCCCATTCCCAGTTGTATAGGTCTCACTGTAGCATCTGTGAATTTAAGGCTCTACCAAAAATTAATTTATGTAAATTCTTATTGTTTTAACACAATAAAATAGTTTTTGTATTTTTTATTTATTTTTTTAATTTGTTGGTGACTTGTTAGGCCCGTAAACATTACCCTAGTAATCCAAACAGAACAAGATAATGGTGTACTGCTGTATCACGGAGACAGGTACATAATAATATGTGTTTTGCTTTATCGCGAGATTAAGTATATGATATTATATGCTGCATAGCAAATTGTAAAATGTTTTTTTTTTATGATTGAAAATATGTGCAATTTACTTTAATTTGACGTGAATAGCGAATTGAAGCTGTTAAAGTAGCAGAGTCAAGTTTTCTAACAAAAACTCTTTATTTTACCTTAGGGAGCATTTAGCAGTTGAACTCTTTCATGGTAGAATTCGTGTCAGTCTAGACGTGGGGAATTTCCCGGTTTCAACAATGTTCAGGTTTTAAAATTTCTTATTCAATTTTGTGGAATTTATCACACCTAATATTTCCCGTTGTAGGGTGATTAAGTGACTTTATCCCCCTACAACAGGGTGATAAAATCATTTTTCTACCCTGTTATTAAAATTTTTAATTTCAAACACTTCTTGTTGTATTGGGTGTTAAAAGTTTCTTTATCACCCTACAACAGGGTGATAAAGTAAATTTGTCGACCTTCTATTAAATAACATGAATAAAATTGAATAAAACTATATATGCAGTTATGTGATGGGTATCATGCGTGAAAAAAAGTTTATACTGTGATTTTTACTTTTTATAGTTTGCTTTCGATCAAAATGAACTAAAAGAAAAAAAAACCAGCAAAAACTTTTTTGCACTTAGTAATTCCCATTGCAATGACATAGATAGATATTATTTATTAAATTATTTATTAATTATTTATTTTTAAAATGAAAAACAGCCATCCTAAACCCTTTTTTTAACAACTTCAACTATTCTTCTCTAAGTAATTAATAAAAAATATACCCAAATAATGATAAAAGATATCAACAATTTTGTTTAAAAGTCAAGTTTTATTGATCCGAAATTTTATAAATCTTGGAACCTGATTTCCTAGACATTGATATTTTCAAACTAAAAATTTCTTCTTCAAATAGTTCAATTCTTAAATATCTAAATTATCTATAACATCAGGTTGCAAAATAAATCAACGTTCGAGGCTAGAAATCAGTTGTTTTTTTTAAAATTCATAAGTCAGAACTTCTGTCCCTGTAGGGTATAACCATCAGAATATCAAAGAGAAATCGAATTAATCTGCATAAGATGAAAATGACTTCTTGATTTCTAGATTCATAATACAAAAGTTCTGCCTCTAGAGGTACCACTTTTTGGTGAAGATAAAATTATCTGTTTGCAGTTATGCAACCTTAAATGATGACCTTGAGCACAGTGTTCGAATATATTTGTCTGGTAAATCCTTGGCTTTAACAGTAGATGGAAACCAACCAAGGTAACTATTTAAAAAATTAAAAACTTAAAATAAATGATTATTCAAATTTAGCTTAATTTTTTAAATGACATATATTTTCACCTAATGTTGCAAAAAAGTTCTATTTAATGCAAAAATAATCATAACACTAAAACAGCAACTTTCAAACATGATATGTTAAAAAATATTATTATCAAACAAACATGTCCAAAAAAACAGAGATTATAATAGAATGGAATTTACAAAATCCCTCGGTATAAATTTTGTCAGTCCCTTTGAGCCTGAAAAGGAGTTTAAAGTGTAAATGTTTTCAAATTATACACAGTACATCACACTAATACAGAATGATCCCTGAACATATCCGTTACAATTTCTTTGTTTTGCAGTAAAGTTGTTAAATAACTTTTAACGTGTATATTAGCTATAGATGAATTAAAATCAATATTTTATTAAACATTAAAACGTAAGCATCGTCGTTTGTTAAGTGAATTCTTGCAAACTGTAGAATGGTTAATTTTTTGGTTTATAATCGTTTGTATACTGCAATTAATATCTTGTTTTAAATTAATTTTCATTTTTTAAATAATTAAGCAAAACGGCCTGGGGGACTTTGGGGTGGCATATAACTTATATAAGTATATAAGTATTTATAGTTTCATCTCTGTTTCAAAGTTCTTAACTTCAAGAAAAAAGTAATTTGAAGATTTTTTTGGGTTCATTTAAAGGGAGCGTTCTCTTCTTTGGGTAATTTAAGGATAACTAAATAGCCTATTAGCTATTCATTGGTAATAGTTGCAATTTTCTTTTTCTTGTTTACTAGAATTCCTGCAAAAAAAACAGTAATTTTAATAATTCTTTAATCCACCAACCCTAAGATCTTAATTGCATATTTTGGTACCAATTAAAAAATCTAATTTTATTTTAATATCTCATAAAAACCATTTTATTAAATATATTTCACTTATTTAACAACTATAATATAATTTCCAAAGGTTTGTCAATATTTCTGTTTGTCTACTATATCTTTACTAAGTACAACTGATCATATAATAAACAAAACCCGTACTGTATGTTTGTGTTACCCAGAAATTTTATTGTCAAAGAGGTCCAATTAACAACACTTGAACTATACAGGATGCAAGACGCGTACTGTATGTTTATATAACACAAATGCGTATTTCCTACAGATGGCAGCAGGGGGAGAAAGGAATATAGAAAGTAATCAATTTGCTATAGATGTCTCTTGTTTCCCTTAATCTCAGAGGTACAAAAATTAGAAGCAATTTAAGAAGGAGTTTTCTACCTGCCAGCGTATCTATATATAAATATATATTACCTTTGTCTAAGAGTAAATTACCATCCCTCTGATGGAGTAATTAGTGTCCTGAGTGTTAATTACCATCCTTCCGATAGAGTAATTAGTGTCCTAAGTGTTAATTACCATCCCTCTGATGGAGTAATTAGTGTCCTGAGTGTTAATTACCATCCCTCTGATGGAGTAATTAGTGTTCTGAGTGTTCCATCCTTCCGATAGAGTAATTAGTGTTCTGAGTGTTAATTGCCATCCTTCCGATAGAGTAATTAGTGTCCTAAGTGTTAATTACCATCCCTCTGGTGGAGTAATAAGTGTCCTGAGTGTTAATTACCATCCCTCCGATGGAGTAATTAGTGTCCTGAGTGTTAATTACCAAGCATTGCTGATCCAATCTGGATATGAATGTTAAGAAAGGATACACATGTTAGAGGTTGGATTTAAATGAGCTAAAAATATGTTCAAATGTTGATGGAGGATAGATACAAATGTTGAGGTTTGATTCATGAATCATGCATACAGGTTAGATTTCATTGTAGATTCAATCTGGATATGATGTTAGGGATGGATACAAATGTTAGTGGTTGGATTCAAATGAGCTAAAAATACAAATAAGCAATGACAATTTACTATGCAGTTTGAACCCGCTAAACCAGGGTAGGTTATTTTGAGTGGCTGGCCCTATAAGTTAGTTAACGATAATGAATATAATTGGTTACACACATCACATTGTGTTTTTTGATTGTAAGGAGTTGATTGTCAGGTGATCTGTGGCAGGGTGCGATAAGAGGCATGAATGTAGATATAAATTAAAATACAGGGTGTAAAGGATGGTGGATACACACACATAAATAACCTAATTAAGTTTCAGTTTTTTTTTTTGTTTTTTTTTTTAATAAAATATACTCACATGATATACAACCAGGTTTTTCACATTTAAACCTCTCATGATTCTCAAGATAAATATTGATTACTCTTTGTTTAAATATTTTTGCAGATTTAGTTTCTTTAAGGTCAATTTCAATTGCATTCCACGAAATAGGAAACATTGAGGAAGGAAAGCTTTCCAGTTTTTTGTTTAAAACCCGTTCCAGATTGGATCAACTATGAAATCCATCCTGCATCCAATTCATGAAGCAATACTCGACATTTCTATCCATCCATCCTACATCAACATTTGAATATATTTTAATAGCTCAATTTCAATCCAACCCCTATAACGTTTGTATCCATCCTAAGCATTTGTATCTAGATTGGATCAATAATCAAATCAAACCTGTGCCCAATTCATGACTCAATACTCAAAATTCATATCCATCCTGCATCAACATTTAGATAAATTTTTAGCTCATCAGGATCCAACCCCAAACTTGTATCCATCCTTAACAAGCGTATCCAGATTGGATCAACAATCAAATCCAACCGTGTATCTGTGATTCAAGATACTCAAGATTTGAATCCATCCTGCATCAACATTTGAAAAAATGGCGCCGTGACAAACTCCTGAAAGACAAACTCCTGAAAGACGAACTCCGGAAAGACAAACTCCTGAAAAGACAAACTCCTGAAAGACAAACTCCTGACGAGACAAACTCCTGACGAGACAAACTCCTGACGAGATAAACTCCTGAAATACAAACTCCATAATATCAAATTTAAAAAAATGTTTCACAATTTATATTTAATCTAGCCGCAGCGCTCGGCCCAGAAAGTGTCAACACTTAACCTAACCCATGGCCGCAGCGCTCGGCCCTCTAGCCTGTCCTAGCCGCAGCGCTCGGCCCAGAAAGTGTCTTAACTAACCTAACCCATGGCCGCAGCGCTCGGCCCACTAGCCTGTCCTAGCCGCAGCGCTCGGCCCAGAAAGTGTCTCAACCTAACCTAACCCTAAATAATAAAAAATAAATAATAATAAATTTGCTGGTTATTCTGATCATTGTAATACTTTGCTGCTAGAAGCATATTCAAATTACTAAAGATTGAGAATTTTTTCTAGAATATTTGCGGATTTTTCTTCTAAAGTTTATGAATTTTATCAAATTTCATTCAGAGAAAAATTTCATAATTTCAGGAGTTTGTCTTTCAGGAGTTTGTCTCGTCAGGAGTTTGTCTCGTCAGGAGTTTGACTTTCAGGAGTTTGTCTTTCCGGAGTTTGTCTTTCCGGAGTTTGTCTTTCAGGAGTTTGTCTTTCAGGAGTTTGTCACGGCACCTGAAAAAATATTTAACCCATTTGAATCCAACCCCTAACATTCATATCCATCCTTAACATTTGTATCCAGATAGGATCAATAATCAAATCCAACCTGCAATATCCAATTTAAGAATCAGTACTCAACATAATTCCATCCTGCCCTAACAATTGTATCCATAATTGACTAACAATCAAATCCAACCTGTATTCGTGACTTATAAATCAATACTCAATACTGCATTAATTCATTTGAATATATTTTTAGCTCATTTGAATCCAACCACTAACATTTGTATCCAGATTGGATCAACAATCAAATACAACCTGCAGCATCCAATTCATGAATCAATAATCAACATTCGTATCCATCCTGCATCAACATTTTCCTCTGCTATGCAGAAGCAAGCTGTCAGGGCAAGCTGCCATTGAGAGACAGTATAAACAAAACAAAACAATCCAGTATTCCGCAAACGCGGGAATCCAATCCCTACCCCCCCCCCCTCGGTCTCCCTACAGCAACCTCCAACATAAATATGTGAAGTACACCTGCAGTATAGACACAGTACATCAAAATGGCGGTTTCACACTTTTTTGAGTTAATTCCTCTCTATACTAATCTATTCTCTTTGCTTAGATACTTTTTGCTATAATATTCTTAGATATAATACTTTTCTTTAATAAATAATTTAGCAAGTTTTTTAAATTTGTTCAGAACGGTTGTGAACGAAGGAGTTAAAACTGAATTATCTGTTCTTGCTCCAACATTTATAGGTGAATAATCAAATATTATCGGAAGAATTGTAAAACAACGAGAAAGCAATTAAAGTTAGAATGACTTCGAACAGTAATATAGTAATCTCTGTAGTCTTCTTAAAACTAACCTTTTTATTTTAAACAATCTTTTTTAGTTGCCATTTTTTGGCTAAATTTCATCAATTATGAAGCATTTGCATTCTGTGCAATTTTTTCTTATCCATTTTTTCCAAATCCTAGATTACACAATATTCCGAATTGTGCAGACGCACTCATGCAAAAAAGCTTTCACTTACTCCTTTTAAACTAAAGCTAGAAAAAATAATGTTGCAATTTCTAAAATGTAAGTTTAACATGTCTAAAGGGCGTACACAATTAGTAGGTTAGTAAGTTAAACCCAAAGACTAAAAGCTTGTCACACTTCAAAGTGGGCCCAGTCTATAAAATTGAAGCAAAATATTCATGTTTGACTGGATTTCAATGTTAAAGGCCGGATAAGTGAGAAGAATTATTGGAAGTAGTTTATTTTGATAAACTACTTATCCTGTGCACTCTTGGTCCTACAAGAGAATTAGTTCCACTATCCGTATCTAAAGTGGTCGTCGATTATGTCAATAATAAAGACAACTTTTATTAATAATTGCTTTGATCTGTGCACAGTCTGTACAGTCGTCCAAAAAGTTTCATCCTTTTAGGGCAACCCGTCATTAAATTCATTTTTCTAATAAACGAACTTATATTATCTATCAGATCTGGGACCGAATTCAATAATGTTGAGCTAGATCCGTCCACTACTGGATAAATCCTGATTCACTGAGTCAATTTACGTTGTTGAACCTAGCTCAAGTTTATCAAACCCGGTCCTTGAGATAAAAATTAAAATACTATAACTTGAAAACCCAGTGTTTCCCACATAGTTACTCCCCCCAATTACCCGCACTTGGTTGATTTTTACCAGTAAATTAAACTGCTGTAACAGTCGACCCACTCAACTTAGAATCTCAAAACCAAGCTAAGAACATTCCCGTGGCTCTCCCTATCAAACGTTGAGGCAAATTGGTCCAGGGATTCTGAGTTATGATCAGACTAACAAACTGACAAACGGAGATTACCACTTTATATAACCTTTTTTTGTAATGTTGTACTGCTTTGATAATAAGATAATTGCAGGTGGTGTTCCGGAACCTATTGGAGAATCTGCACTTAGCTTCTGGCATTTAAGGAACTCGACTAGCTTTAAAGGTAATTACAAGTTCATTATGGCTTGCACAGTCAAAACCAGAAAACGGAATGAAAATTGTCTTCTTTCACTATTTTCAGGGAGCATTTTGTCAATCATAAACTTCAAAATTATAAAGACGTTTTGAATTAGAAGACTTAACATCGACTTTTTATTCCGTTTTTAACTAATTATGACTGTACAGTGTACATTTTTTCATTAAAAAACCGTCTATAAATGTTTTGCTATTGTGCTAAAAAAAATATTTTTGGATTTAATTTTGATTCTTCTTCTAAAACATCAAAATTAAGTATAGGAATCAGTAATTTAATGATTTGAGCCCTTTAAAAATTGTATAAATAAGCTTTTATAAAAAAATATGTTGATATTTTTTTTGGTTAATTAGAATGTTTTTTAGGCTGCATTAAAGAATTCTACATTGATGATAAACTGATTGATTTCCTGCAGGCTGCCAGGAAACGGCATGCCGTGGCTGCAGGATGCTTCACTCGTCAGCTCGGCATGCCAACCAGTGCTTACAGTGTAAGCCAGGTCAGAGATTAAAAATCTTAACTTTTCTTGCTCATCTTTCATGAAGATATTTTTCTTTTTTTTTTAATTTTAAAATATTTACAATAACAAAATTTGGCGTTTTTGTTTTGTTTCCAACGGTGGAATACCAATATTTGTTAAATTTCGAAAATAAGTCGAAGCATTTTTTTCAACAGATTAAATACTAATTCCTTGGTCACTTTTACGCTTATCGGATACCAAAAAGATAAACCAACAAAAATATAAAAATAAAACAGATGTTGACATTATTTCAAAAGATGTTAACATTAATTCAATTTCAGGACAAAGAAATTAGAATGAAAAAAGCTTGTTTGGACAACAAGTGTACGGTGAAGGGGACTAAGAAATGTTCAGCAAAGGTTGTATTTAAATTGTTTTTTAGAAAATTTATTGTTTATCGCAAATCTTTTCTTTTAGCGAAAACAAGATTATGTGTGTAAGTGTAAGAAAGGGTATGCCGGGAGATACTGTGAAAAAGGTAGAATTTTGAACTAATAAAAAGAAATGCACTAAAACATTTGATAATTATTTCCATTCAAAAAGGTTTCTTATACACTTTAAAGTAAAATTTATCAAAGATTAACATTTATTATAGATACTCAGTAGCATTTATTAAATATGCGCAGTAGTATTTATTAAATATGCGCAGTAGTATTTATTGAAGGTACCCAGTAGTATATATCTAATTTACCCAGTAGCATTTATTTAAGATACACAGAAGCATTTATCAAAAATTCACAGTAACATTTATTAAAGATTCGAAGTAAAACTTGTAAAAGAAAATATTACTGCTCATATTAGATAAATGTTACTGTGAGTCTTTAATAAATATTACTGCCTATCTCAAGGGCTGAACAACTGTCTGTTAATAAACGGAAAACTTTTGAAAATTAATGGAAGAGTCCGTTAAAGAACGGCAAAAACTGTTGTTTTAAATCGTCAACAAAATGGAATAGTTGACCTTAAAGGGATTGTAAAGGAAAAAGAAAAGGGGGTATAGGCTGAAACCTAAGCATACTCTTTCGTATTTTACTTGGTTTTTTACGTGCTTTGCTATTTTTGAATGTTTTCATCAAATTTTTCCAGATATTTTAACATCACAAATTAATACTAAACGATTTCTAAAATTTCCCCGTTAAAGCCGTTAGTAAAGTTGAAATCCTTAATGGACCAAAACTTTGAAAAAGAACGAACAAATAGTTACCAGAAAGTTATTTTTTCAATTATTTAAATTAACCGTTTATAAAAAATCGAGAAAAAAAATGAAAAAAGTCCGAATGTGCCCAGCCTTTAAAATATGTTATACTGCGCAGCTCCCACGTGCCGGAAGAGAAAGCAGAGAAGAGTACTGGAGGAGAACAATTGTAAATCTAGAAAACCGGTTTCTTTAAAGAGGTGTAAAGGAGACTGCCATGACGGAACGTGTTGTAAGGTAAGTAATATAGAAATTTTATTTTTGAAGGAAAATCTTTTGAATAATTTTTTAATTTGTTCTCGGTAGGTTTCCAGTACATTCTTATTATAATACTTAAACCCAGATATCCAAAAGTTTTCATTGTGGATACAGAAATCAGTCACAAAAGTTAATTAAGTTACATCAAACAAAAGTATCAGCGTCTGGATTTCTTGCATGCCTAATGCCTAAATGATTATCTTTTGATGGCACAATAGATTTAATTTACAAAACTGTTTATTTGGCATTTGCTATTTCTTTCGAAAGAGCATTTTCGGAAATTGTGCCGGACACAGCTTTGAATGGGAATTTTGATTAAAATTGTCTTTACATTCGTTTAAAATTTTCTTTCAAACATTTGTTGGTTCCAGAATATATTTTATTCAGAAATTAATAACCTTTTATAAGAATTTATTTTTTAAACCGGTAAAATTTCTTACCTTTCAGACATTCCTTTCTAGAAATAGTGCATGATAATTTTATTTCTAAATATATGATATTGTTTAATGATCTAAAAAGTATAAATGAGTTTGTTTTTGTGTAAAAAAATGACTTAATACCTTTATTTTATTTTTCCATCTTTCTTTATTTGTAGGCCAAAAATAGCAAGACAAGAAAAATTGGCATGATCTGTAATGATGGAACTAGGTATGATTATATAAAAAAAATTCTTCATAAAACTCTTTTTTTAATTTATAATATGTTTAAGGTCATTTTAAATAGGGTACTCTAATGCATGAAGATTTTTGCGCAAACTGTGATTATCTAATTCCTATATCTTTGTAGTCCAATGTTGTAGACATTTGACATTTCAAACTATGACAACTGTAAGATCAAGTAATATAAGTTTTAACCCTATTCCCGCTGAAGGGGGGTCAATTTGACCCCCCCCCCTGTAGTTTTTTTTACATAACTCAAAAAGTATTGGTCTGAGGCTGTTGAAATTTTCTGACTTTTCTTACATACCCAAAGCCCTCCCTTTAGGCCTAAAACCGGGCTTTAATACTAACTGCCTGAGTCCTCAGGCACAATGCCTGAATGACTGCTTTTGCCTGTAGCAAACTAAATCTTTGTTTTGACCCACTTCACTTGTCGGATTTTGATAAAATTTAGCTTTTTGGAAAGCCTATGACTTAAGGAAACGGATTGCCCAAGTTTTGCGAAAAAAAAATTGCAAATTTTTTGCAAACAACCTGTCAAAGAAAATTTGCACATTTTTAGTTTTTCTTGATTAAAAATCAGGTTATTTAAAATTTTGCAAAAATTTTTGCGTATTTGAAATGGCATGGTCAAGGGCTTTTCAAAAATGTATAATTTGTCATTTTTTGAACAAATTTTTTTTTGCAAACATTTTTACTATAAAACTGGATTTTGCGATAAAAAATTCAATTTTCGCAAATTTGCAAATTTTTTTTGCAGATTCTAAAAGTAGAGCACAAGAGCTTTCTAATGATGTATTATTTGTCATATTTGGACATAAAACATGGGATTTAGAGGGGGGTTGGGGGTCAAATTGAGCCCCCCCCCCCCCCAGCGTATCCTGGTTTTCAAGTACCCCAGCGGGGATAGGGTTAATTATCAAAGGTTTACGACAAAGGGTTCAAAAGATATAGGGATTAGAAAATCAGAATTTGTGGCAAGTACTCAACTCCTTTATCTATAAAAAATCAAGTGTTATTTCTAGGTATGTGAAAGTGATAACTACAGCTACGAAATGCTCCTGTGGCGAAAGAAAAAACTGTTATGCCTCAGATGATAAATAAATTAGAATCTATAGTTGTTTAAAATTACCCTTTCATGGCCAGCTAAATTAGATCTTCCGGTGAAACACCCTTTTTCCATGAAAATTGTACTTTAACTCTCTAGTATTATGAATGTAAACAAAGGAATTGAGTCTTTGCCACAAACTCCCAATATCTTTTTGACTTAATGTAGTATATCTTAAATATTTCAAACTTTGAATTGTCTTTGATTATATTATCAAAGTTTGAAATATCAAAGGCTTATGCCAATATTTTGCAAAGTTATATGGATTTGAAAATTCGAGTTTGTGGTAAAGACTCAATTCCTTTAAAGAAACTTAACACTGTGCAACATAAATATTTAATGAAATAATAATAAAAACATTATAAATATATATTTTATTTATTAAACAATCTGAAAGCGATGTGTGATAAAGAAACAAACTGATAGAATTTTCTAAAATGTGGGTTGAAACTTGTGTTACAAATATATATCAGGAATTCGCTTGTTTTTTCTCAGGATTCTGAAAAAGAAAAGAAAAACCTTTATTTCCTAATCCTCATTTAAAAAATCAATGATATCAAAGTTGTACAATCTGTAAAGCAAACTAATTTAACAATAATTTTACACTGAAATGGACATTCTATTTTCATCATAAAAATTCGGATATCTTATGAGTACTGCTGTGAATCGTTAATGCCACTCAATGAATGGAGGGTCTAAAGTCCTTTTCAGGTTACACCAAAGTTATGATCTTTTAGAACTCTAAAATTTAACAATAAGTGCCTAGTGAATATGTTCATGAACTCTTGAAAAAGCCAAGGTAGATAAAGCAAACTAAATATTATTATGCTTGTCAGTTTCTCAGGACATTTTATCTAGTTTTAGAACTATTATTGGACGAAAGAAAGAGAACTGCCAAATGGACAAAATAAATTCTATAATAATCTCAACCAAGTCATGGAGGATGTTTGCAAAGAAAACATGAGCACATCAAACTGGACCACAATGTTCAAATACATTTACAAATATATATAATATACCAAAGTTTTAGAGGAGAAAAAATATGTAACCTTAATTTTGCTTGATGAGGAGCAGACTGTATTTATATCTTATCATATTCACCTTTCCCTTCACGGTTCCCCCTCCCAGGGTAATATATTCACAGTATTTGATAATTTACGCCTAAACCTTTGTAAGTCACGTGGATTTTACGGTTCTGTCAATATTTCAGAAAACTGTGACTTTCAATCACAATATGACCCCTTTTACATAATTTTAAAGCCTTTTATCGTAAATAATTTTTTGTTGGCATATACATTTTGAATGAAAAAGTATCAAAAATAAACAAATCTGTAAGTTTTAAGATTGTTGAGTTATAGACGAAAACACGTTTGATTTCAAATAGAAGAAACCGAATACTTCTCTCTCTCGTTAGTTCAGGGTGAAGTTTATTAAAAGTTACCTTCTTAAACTCATAATCTTCTAGTTTAAGCCTTGATAACTCCACTAGGCCAAGCCGGGCCAAGAATCCATATTGACAATATGTACTGGTAGGTCGGGGACCAGGTCTAGACAAACACAGAGAACATTTTTATTTAAAAAAAACAAAACAATTATTTTGCACACTGTAAAAACAGTTTTGAATAGAGTAATCCACAAGATGTAATATTATCTGGGTGTAGGAGTAGAAGATGGTTGCTCCCAGAGCAATAAATTCACGTGGTTATTACCAAGCTGTATAGGGGTAGAAGATGGTTGCTCCCAGAGTATTAAATCCACATGGTTATTACCAAGCTGTATAGGGGTAGAAGATGGTTGCTCCCAGAGCAATAAATCCACATGGTTATTACCAAGCTGTATAGGGGTAGAAGATGGTTGCTCCCAGAGTATTAAATCCACATGGTTATTATTAAGCTGTATAGGGGTAGAAGATGGTTGCTCCCAGAGTATTAAATCCACTATCCACTTGGTTATTACCTAGGTGTATAGTGGTAGAAGATGGTTGCTCCCAGAGCAATACATCCACATGGTTATTACCAAGCTGTATAGGGGTAGAAGATGGTTGCTCCCAGAGTAATAAATCCACGTGGTTATTACCAAGCTGTAAAGTGGTAGAAGATGGTTGCTCCCAGAGCAATACATCCACATGGTTATTACCAAGCTGTATAGGGGTAGAAGATGGTTGCTCCCAGAGCAATAAATCCACATGGTTATTACCTAGGTGTATAGGGGTAGAAGATGGTTGCTCCCAGAGCAATAAATCCACAAGATGAAACTATAAGGAATAAACCTAACCATCCTAGAGCCTCTTTTATTGCCTAAACAATATAGTTTACACTTTGTAAACAATATTTTTGTTAAAATTGTAACTTTATCGTTAGCTAAAATAAGTGAAATACACATTTTATGTTTTTTTTTTACATTTACGCTTAGCATGATATATTTCAGAAAGTTGTAAAGTGAAATTTACAAATTTAAAAAACAACTTTTAGATAAATTTTAGACAAAATAAAAATTTTTAAAAAGTTCCCTTATCTAATAAATGTTTTAAAAAGTACATTATGCAATATTTAAATAGCTAAGATTTAAATAAACTTCATTTAAAGATAAGTTAAAGTTATTAATCCGTAAATATAAAATTGTTAAGCTAAAAATAAATGCTTGAAATTTTATTGTACACCTTCGAGACTGTAGCCACCAGGAGATTATTAATTATATCGCTGGAGAATAGAAAAGCATAAATAAAGCCTCCATATTTATGCCCAAAGGTCTGGGTTGTTACAGCTGGCTGAAAAAAACATAAACAGTCATAACTAGTAAAAAGTAGACCAAAAGTCATCTTTTTCAGTATTTCATCAAAAACGTAATGACGTAACTGTTTTCGTTTTTACTCAAAATACAGCCTACACTAGAACGTTAAAAAAAACCAGTTAAATTACTCTTTCATTAATTTAGCTAAAGATCTTAATTTAGTTCAGTTTAAAAGCCCTTTCAATAATTGATTTGTATAAATATGTAAATATTGGTCAAAAGTAGAAATGAGTATTTTTATAGAAATTTTCGGACTAACTTTTTAATGTATTACACTCCCCTATCTCAATTATCAGGGCACAATTATGGGGGAGAAGGGTAAAAAATACGTCTCCAATCTGTGTCAGACAAAAAAATATTTTTTTTTTGACTAAATTTTCGTTTATACTTAGGATTATTATCATTTAATTCAGTTAGTGACAGGGCAGCCCTATTTGACAGAATATTGACCGGATTTACATAAAATAGTGATCAAATAGTAATTCAATACGATTTGTCATTTAACTTTCTTTTAATATAAATCCGTTGAACAACAAACTGCATACTTTCGAAGGAATAAACAATACAAAACAAAAGTACCTTTGATCGGAAAAAAATTTCATTAAGTTATGTTATATATCCTAATTAAAAACAATCATGAATATATTCCTTTTAATACTGTTTATATAATGATTTACATGGTTACCAACAAAGGATAGGACCGTAAAAACAACCTGAATCTCATAAGATATGTCCATCTGCAAGGTTAAATTAGGTTTTCATCCTCGAATATAGTCATTTCATGGCTTATTTAATAATTTAGCAAAGAAAGAAACTAGTTCACAGTTGTAGAGAATAATGAATATTTGGAAAAAGGAATTGAGTTTTTGCCACAAACTTAAATTTTCGAATTCCAATATTTTAGCGACCTAATGTTGTACACATTTAATATTTCAAACTTAGATAAGTTAAGCTAACATAATTCATAGTTTGAAATATCTTAAAAATACGACATTTGGTTGGGACAATACAAGGGCTAGAAAATCAGAGTTTGTCGCAAAGACTCAATTCCTTCATATAAATGATAAATTCTGTACAGTTGTTTCTGAAATCACATCCTATGTGGGTTACCCTGTAGTATACCTGTGTTGAGTATGTTCCAGGGAATGTGAAAAAAATTGCCCAAACCCAGAGAGCGTACACAATCTTATTTTTACAACGTTAATATTCAAGAAATAGTTAATACAGTTGGAAACTTTGTGATGAAAAGGAAGTATGATTGTTAATCGTTTTCGAAAATGATCGTTAAACGATAGTTTTTTTTCGTTTTCCTATCGTTTTTATTTCGTTTTCCGATCATTTTAAAAACAATCGGTTTAAAAACTTTTTAAAAAACGATAGTTTTTAAAACGATCGGAAAACGAAACAAAAAACGATAAGAAAACGAAAAAAACGATCGTTTTTCAAAAAAATGAAAACGTTAACATCCCTAAATGGAAGGAATATTTTTTAAATCATTTAAGAGCTAGGAACTTTTGTAGTGGATACTGATCTGATCTCAATATCTAATGTGGGCACTTTAAATCAAAGAATCTATAATAAAACTAAACCTTTCAATGTCTTCATTTTAGTTATTCCTCCCTTATCAAAGCTCCCTTCAACCCCTAACTCTGTAAGATTACATATGCAGGATATCGAATAAAGATTAAATTAATCTTCAGATTAACAAAGATCTAGATCAAGCATTAGTCTCGATATCCACAATACAAGAGTTCCCAGCTCAGTCGATTTAAACAAATGCTCCTTGTCGTATTCCACATTAGGCAATTATGAGAAAGAGAGAAATGGGTGAAACTCATTAGAACCAATTTGAATAAGTTCTTTCATTCAAAAATTACTACCTCTAATAAGTATGTTTAATGAATAACTACAATATGAACGTTAAAAAAAGAAAACATTGAGATGTGTTAAATAGATTTTAAGATATATAAAACATTTAATACCAACATTGGCACATTTTTTGTAGATGATAGAATTTTATTATATACAGACAACCAGATATTTACAATGAATGTTCTGATGTTTGTAAAAAAGCATCATATGTTCATTGTTTACAGTAGGCACACTGGACATAGAAACATCCTTAAACATGTTCTCTTGTGCCAACATAATCATTGTTTATGAACATTTTCGGTTTATTTTTGAAAGCGACAAAATATTTGACCTTTTAAAAAAAATTTGTTGGATTTTAAATAAATGTACTCTTAAAAGGTGAATCACTGAAAAATCATTGATATCAAAAATACAATGCATGATAACCTTAGTAAGAAGTGATGTTGGTTCGTCGCAGGGATTTGTCACCAATGTCGAATTTGCTTCTGAAAATATTTTAATGCGTATTAATTATAATATTAATAACAATAATAATGATAAATATTAAGCGACTTCAAAATTAACTCAATATCGTTTGAAACTGTACAATTGATCAATGATGTAACTGCACAATAATAATAATGGTAATACAAATAATACATAATATTGATAATAATAAGAAACAAGTTTACCATGTACAACTAAGAAAGCTGCAGTATCTGTAGTACAGTCTGTGTCAACACCTAACAAATATTCAACAAAATGACGTTTGAAAGTTAATTTAAAGATGAAATAAACGTCCTAAAACTTTAAGATAAGTGTGCAAACGTCCTTAGATTTGGGGAAAAGTGCATAAAGCGTTTTTGAAGCTTAGATTGATCTAATTGTTTTAAAAATGTCCTGAACTTTAGAAGTAGTTTGTAATACGTCTCGGAGTTTGTAGATAAGTCTAAAAAGTACTGAGGCTGAAAAACGTCTTATGTGTGAAACGTCTTTACGTCTACAGATAGGGAACACGTTCGGGAGCTTCCAAAAAATTCAAACCTAAGTTCTGAATTTAGTTTAGACTTTAAAGAGAGTTTTTTGAAAAGTCCTAAAGTTAGGTGTGAAGTTTATGCTTTTAATTTTAAAAGTTTTGAGAGAATTTTTTAAACTTTCTGAAGTTTAGACATTAAGATTACCTATGAGTGAAGTTAGATAAAATGTTGACATGAGAAGGATGAGAAGTGAGGCTTCAACACACATCGCTACTTTGTAAGCTGTTTTATCCATAATAAAACCATAGAACAAGCGACCTAAAATTAACCTTGCATTGGTTAAACAAAAAGGTAAATGAAATTGAGTGGGAGAAAAACGAAAGGAGCAAATGGTCTGTACAATTGATCAATGATTGATTAATGATGTAACTGCACAATGCAGAACCTGTACAATTGATCAATGATTGATTAATGATGTAACTGCACAATTCAGAACCTGTACAATTGATCAATGATGTAACTGCACAATGCAGAAAATGTACAATTGATCAATGATGTAACTGCACAATGCAGAACCTGTAAATTGATTAATGAATAATGATGTAACATGCACAATGCAGAACCTGTACAATTGATCAATGATGTAACATGCACAATGCAGAACCTGTACAATTGATTAATGATGTAACTGCACAATGCAGAACCTGTACAATTGATCAATGATGTAACTGCACAATGCAGAAACTGTACAATTGATTAATGATGTAACTGCACAATGCAGAACCTGTACAATTGATTAATGATGTAACTGCACAATGCGAACCTGTAAAATTAATCAATGATGTAACTGTACAATGCAGAACCTGTACAATTGATCAATGATGTAACTGCACAATGCAGATTCTGTACAATTGATCAATGATTTAAAATGCACAATGCAGAACCTTTATAATTGATCAATGATGTAACTGCACAATGCAGAAACTGTACAATTGATTGATGATGTAACTGCACAATGAAGAAACTGTACAATTGAATACTAATGTAACTGTACAAGGTCCAATCTATACAATTGAATACTGATGTAACTGTACAATGTACAACCTGTACAATTGAATACTGATGTAACTGTATATTGTATAATGTACAACCTGTACAATTGAATATCGATGTAACTGTATAATGTACAACCTGTACAATTGAATATCGATGTAATTGTACAATGTACAACCTGTAACGTTGAATGCTGATGTAACTTTACAATGTACATTTGAAAACTGATGCAACTGTACAACATACAACCTGTACAATTGAATACTGATGTAGCTGTACAATTAAAAAATGATGTAACTGTACCATGGTAAATTGATGTAACTACAATGTAGAACCTGTAACAATTGAATGCAAATGTAACTGTACAATATACAACCTGTACAGTTGAATACTGATGTAACTGCTCCAACAATTGACAAGAACTGATCATCCTGCAGTACAATTAAAGATAAACAATGATGTTTTAATTTTAAATTTGTGTACACTCAAAAATGTTTATTAAATACTTTCATTAATAATATTAAAAACACTTTATGAAAATTGGAAATATCAAAAATGTACAGACTCAAATCTCAACATTTACAGATGCAAATTACTCAGATGTCTTTGCGCCCTTTTCCCTTCTTTGACTGTTGATGGAAAGATTATTAAGAGTAAAAGAAGTTAACTAATTGTTTTGTTAAAAACGTGTCGACTAAGAACGGGACTGAAATAATTACAGGGTCTGTCCTAGTGAACGATTTTTGGACCCACCCACTCCCCCCCCCCCCA